TTTGGGTAAATTCTGAGGAGTGGGATGGCTGGGCCTTGTGGCAGGGCCATATTCAGGTTTCTGAGGAATCTCCAACCTGTCTTCCATAGTGGCTTTACCAGTTTGCATTCGCACCAACAGTGGATTAGTGTGCCTTTTTCCCCACATCCTCACCTGCAGTGTTATTAGTTGATTTAAAATAAAATTCTTAATTTTAATCAGAGAACCAGGAAAACCAACTTAAGTCCTCTCTGTCTAATTATGGTTTGTGAGTACATGTATGTGTATTATTACTCATTATTGAAAAATCAAAAATGATTTAGGCTCTTTACTACATATGCATCTGAACTGGTAAGGCAATTCATTTTTATATTGTCCAAACACACACACACACACACACACACACACCAGAATTTAATTCAATTGCTATAAAAAAGACTTATGCACAAAAATTCAGATATTCTAGTTTGTCTTAGTTACATGATTCCTTCAGATATAATATGAACAATACAGAAATTATTTCATGTGTTTATGTTTGCATGTATGTGTTTGTGCAAAGAAACAATAACAAATGAATAAGTGAAAATGTGCTATTCCTAATGGAGATTCAAATGTTTAAGAAAGCTTAATGGGTTTTAAATCTAGTACCCATTATTTGGGCATATTTATGAACTTAAATTCTTTTAATCAGTGTTAATGAATGAATTCAGTGAATATCCACAGTAAAGAATTCCTCTGGTATTCTTGGATGAAGTAATCACTTCATTAATCTCAATATTAATTGTATTCTATTTTGTATGTCTACTGTTAGTTTAAAAACTCAAGAAAAGCAATACTGTCACCAAAATGTCTTCCCACATTAATCTGTCAACACTAATTGCTGCCTCGATTCTAAGATAGTTTGAATAGAAAATCACAGGTGTTTCTTTCTCTTAGACATTTTTCTCTATTTTTTTTTTATCAGAAAGAGCAACTGAAGATAAACATCTTAGCAAGCACTGAGCAAGCCAAAATCAAGTAGTCACTCAATTGTTAAGAATTCTGCAGTTCTAGGCCGGCGCCGCGGCTCACTAGGCTAATCCTCCGCCTAGCGGCGCCGGCACACCGGGTTCTAGTCCCGGTCGGGGCACCGGATTCTGTCCCGGTTGCCCCTCTTCCAGGCCAGCCCTCTGCTGTGGCCAGGGAGTGCAGTGGAGGATGGCCCAGGTGCTTGGGCCCTGCACCCCATGGGAGACCAGGAAAAGCACCTGGCTCCTGGCTCCTGCCATCGGATCGGTGCGGTGCGCCGGCCGCAGCGCGCCGGCCGCGGCGGCCATTGGAGGGTGAACCAACGGCAAAGGAAGACCTTTCTCTCTGTCTCTCTCTCTCACTGTCCACTCTGCCTGTCAAAAAAAAAAAAAAAAAAGAATTCTGCAGTTCTAAAGTATTCTTTCAGCATATTTAGTAAGAAAGCTTCAAATTTTTTTTTTTTCTGTTTCATATCCTAAGTGATCCCTTCATACTTACTCGACTTTACTATAAACCCGTGGTTTCTGATTTAAATATAATCAACTCTTAGTAATGAGTTTAAGCTTGGTATCTTTAGTTGGTTTTCTTAATTTCATTCCAAATTGTATAATTTAGGAACAGAGGAAATTTTTACGAGGTTAGTAGTGATTACTGGTAGATCAAGATGACCAGCTTAATTCATACCAATCTGGGCTATAGGTCTGAATTTTCTGTTTCTAGATTATGTATATTTTTATTTATTTATTTAAAAGTCAGAGTTAGAGAGAGAGAGAGAGAGAGAGAGAGAGAGAGAGAAATTTCCCATTTACTGGTTCACACCGCAGGATAGCCTCAATGCCTACAGCTGAGCCAGTCTAAAGTGAGGAGCTAGGGGCTTCATCCAGGTCTCCCACATCAGTGGCAGGGGCCAAAGTATTTGGGCCATTCTCTGTTGCATTTCCCAGGTGCCATAGCAGGGAGATGGATCAGAAGTAGAGCAGCTGGGACACAAACCAGTGCCCATATGGGATGTCAGAATCATCTGTGGCAGCTTTACTTGCTACACCACTACACTGGTTCCTAGATTGAACATATATTTAAATTAAGGAAAAATTAATTATTGTACTCCTTGTATTTGAAGAATTTTGCACAGCTGTTTATCTTTATTCTTGTCAAAATAATCAATATCGTTTATAATCATCTAGGCAAAATTGTCAAATCTTTTCTATCTGTTGGTCTTATCCAACTGATACATCAGAAATTCTTATGATTCTATTTTTCATCAAAAGCGCTAACTAAAGAAATAAAAAATTATAGAGAAAGCAACAAGGAAGTTAAAACCTGAGCATGGCAGAGGATCAAGAAGGCCTGGGTCTGCTGCTATGCTAAATCCTCTCAAGACCACAGCATAACTTGCTGGCCCTCCTGGGTATGCCTTTGAAACGAAACTACAAGGTTGGGGGCCAGCGCTGTGGTGTAGCAAGTAAAGCTGCCACCTGCAATGCTGATATCCCACATGGGCACCGGTTCGAGACTCACTTGCTCAGCTTCTGAGTCAGCTCTCTGCTATGGCCTGGGAAAGCAGTAGAAGATGGCCCATGTCATTGGACCTCTGCATCCAGGTGGGAGACCTGGAGGAGGCTCCTGGCTCCTGGCTTTGGATCAGCACAGCTCTGGCCATTGCAGCCAATTGGGGAGTGAACCAGCAGATGGAAGACCTCTCTTTGTCTCTACCTCTCCTTCTCTCTGTGTGTAATTCTGCCTTTCAAATAAATAAAAAAAAATCTTAAAAAAAAGAAAGATTTATTATTTCTACATCAGACTGCTCCACTTGAGTTACAGAGAAGATGGTTGTACCAACCATCTGGGGTCCTTATTAGTAGAGCAGCAAAATGAGGATGAAAAAGATGTATTATTTCAAGTTGTTTCCACTTATCCCTTCATCTCACTCCCAACCTTCACTTTCAGGACCTTATTTTGTCTCTCTTCTCTTTCAATTCTTCATCTCCAAAATCAGACCAAAGATCAAGGTCAGATTTGAATTTGTCTTGCAAACTTATTTCAGTAGTCAAACAATAGCTTCCAGTAC